TGTCCAGAATTTTCATTTGGTTCTTTAAAAATAATTTCTGTCCCTTTACCGATATTATTTGATGAGACACTGCCATTATACCCTCATTGTTTAGATATTGTCTCCCTTAGTTCTTTGAACATATTTTAATGGCTGCTTTGAAGTGTTTGTCTGCTAAATTCAACATCTGGGTCTCTTCAAGAGCAGATTTTACTGCCTGCTTTTCTTCCTATGTTCAGGTTATACTTTCCTGTTTCTTTGCATGTTTCATAAGTTTTGTTGATAACGGGACATTTTAGATAATATGTCATAGCAATTGTGGACTCTGATTCCTCCCTCCCACGGGGATTTCCATTGTTGCTGTTTGCCTGGTTTTTAATTTGGTAACTTGGTAGAACTGACTCCAAGAATTCTATCCCTTCAGTATAAAACCTCTGATATCCTTGATTTTATTCTTTAAAAAATACATTTATTTATTTCTATGTGGTGCTGAGGATCGAACCCAGCACCTCATATATGCTAGGCAAGTGCTCTACCACTGAGCCCCAGCCCCAGCACCTTGGTTTTATTCTTTTATCTGGAAATCTAGGGTTCATCACTGATCCTGCATAGGCTACTTATTGATCAAATGCTGTGTTTTTGTCCCCTTAACCAGTTAGATTTTTACCCTTTGCTATTGAATGTGTGTGTGACTTGGAAGCTGCTATCAAAGTTCAATGAGTTCATGTTTCTGCACCACATTCACACAGATATTAGTAGTTTAGATTTTCCTTGTTCAGTCACACCTGAGAGAATATCGCCTTGAGCATATATAGTCTTTCAGGTTACCAGGGATGTATGTGATTTTATTTTTAAGCTTGGCTTCCTAGAAGTTGCCTCTGGGTCAGAGTTATTATTTTAATCATTGGTTGGTCCCAGGTAGTATTTAAGCCCCTATGCCAGTGAGGTTGTTTGAGGTCCCACAGCTTGGGGACTAGTTTCAAGTCCACCTTATGTCCTGCTCTGATTGCTATCTTAGTGGATGCCAACTTGTGCTTATGAACAGGTTTCCTGACATATAGGATTGACTATGATCCCAGGAGAGCTCTTCTTGACTATCTTTCCCTGATTTTCTGTTACCTAATTTCTGATTATTTGGCTACTTTTTGGTTTTAACTTGTATCATGGACTTATGTGTGCCCACTTAATTGTTCTGAACCATGGTTTTTCAGTTTTGACAATGCCCTTAGGCACTGTCATAAAATTACAAAGTCAAATCCTTCAGGTAGAATTGTGGAGTTCATCCTGAAGGCCTGTCTCTCTTTAAGCAGAACCCCTGCAACACTATATAAGAGCTTGAGGCAGGCAGTGGCTTTTCCAGAGTGAAATTCCTTCTTTATGAATGGGCATTGGGTGGTGTTTTTGCTAGCTCTTAACAGTATGAACCTCTGATCAAAGAGCAAGCTTGTGCTTGAGCTGTGGAGGGCCTAATATTATCATCCTTTTGTTCCACTGTGACTGTCTCCACCCTACCAATGGGGGCTGAGTGAGGAAGAAAAAGCTGAGTGGGAAAAGAAAGGTTAGTACTTCTGGGTCTACCTGTAATAGAGATTTTATAATACAGAACTGAGGAAGATGAAAAAAGTAAGAGGCCTGCCCCTCCCAGTTTAAATCATAGATTTAAACAGGGAGCTAAGGGAAGAGGGAGTCCCCATCTTTTATATCACACCCACCTGGATTAAAGCTCCCTTGAGTAGTTTCCATAAAGCTGGACTTGAAGGGGTTGGGGATGGGAGCAGGTCGTGGTTCAAATGCCATTGAATCTTGCTGTTCTTCCTGAGATTTAGTAGATTTTCTTGAATTAACATTTCTCTATTTGCTGTGTACCCCTGAACAATTTCCAGGAACTCTGAATTTTTGAAATAATTTTTACAAGTTAAAAAACTATTTGTTGGTGAGAGGATTCATTGTGCTCCTTACTTCTCCATTCTAGAAGTTGTTCTCCCAGATTATATTTTATATGGCCTTTGAATCTTATTCATTTGACAAATTGTTCTTCTATTTATTTTTACGCCTTGTTATTTTTTCAAATATTTCTTTAAACATATTAGAATGACTTTCCTCCTCTCCCTCCACCATTAATTGCAGTATAACTGAGATACTTTTTGGTTATCCTTTAAAAATTAGAGCTAAATTTTGGTTATCCTTTAAAAATACAAACTAAATTAGCTTTTGACATAGTTTACCCAAAATGACTACATAAGTTACAGCCATTAATTCTTATCCTGTATATAAATGTAGGGACAAAAACTATTTTAGACATTAGTTTGTACCACTCATAATGAAACTAGCATGTATTAGGAATATTTACATATAAAACTTACTACTGTAAGCTCCTTCAGCTTGGATCCCATCATTATCCTAGAACAATTCCTTTCATATAGATAACACTCAAATATATGAAGAATGAATAAACAGGAAGGGATTACTTCTTTTAACAGAAATAAACTGTCATCCACCAAAAGATTATGCTGGCTGGCATACTAGCTGAACCTATTCCTTATTGCAGATCCTCTCCTTCTTTTGTTAGATTTTTTTAGACTCATGAAGTTATTTCCAATTATACCTCCAGAGACCCTACTAACATATCCCATTACAACTTCTTAAAGTTCTCTTGGATAGTGTAGGCTTTATTTTTATCTAGAGTGAGTAAGCTAAACTACATGACTCAAGAACTCATCAATTTTAGGTTTTGATCACAAAGATGACCTTTGTAACTCTTGATTAAATCTATTATCCCCTGGACACTGTTATATCAGAAACCCTGTGTATTTTATTAAACTTGTGAGAGCTTCCATTTCCTCCCTAAAATGGCAGACTCTCCCTCAATTTTTTGAGACCGGGTCTCCCTATATTGTCTAGGCATCTCGAACTCCTGGCTCAAGAAATCCTCCTACCTCAGTCTGCCAAGCAGCTGAGACTATTAGAGCATGTCCCTGTGCCTGGTTTCCCAGTCAATTTAAATCTCCCTACACATGTAGCTTGAAATGGCACAATTATCATTAACTAACCTTATATAACACCTGTATTAGGGGAATCAGGTATCACGTATCTCTTTCTTCCAGCCCATACACACACACACACACACACACACACACACACACACAC